TAATGGCTGAACCCATTTCAGACAGCCCAGATTTTCAGTTTTCCTCCACCTTATAATGAATTGTATTCTAGGCCTCTAGTGTGGAATCTGCTCAGCCTTTCTTAGTTTTTTCTTTGTTTTGTTTTAGACACGTTTCACAGTATATTCCTTTCTTGTGACATTGTTTCTTGATGATCTTTTTTTGTCTCTTTTGAGATTGGGTACTTGCAAGCCTCGCCATATACAGGCTTTGATTCTTTTTGCATTAGCTTACATTGAGGCAGATTTTTTCTTGCTTTTATGCTTTTCTTTGGATCTCTGTTAATCTTTTCCATTTTCTCCCATATCTAGTTTTTCAGCTTCGTTTTACCCTATTTACTCTCCTATGGGTAATGTTTACCTTCCACGTTTTTTTTATTGGTGTTTCACCTATATTTAGGGATTTTTGTAGGATACCTCCTTTTTCTTCCCTTCATGTTGGGGAGTTTGCCATCTACCATTCTTTCCCTTCACAGATGGCTTCTTTCCTTTTGGAAACCTCTTGGGTAGGACACTCTTGTTTGTTTCCCATCCACTTTTAATAGCGATTTGTAGTCAGATCTTTTTCTCCACCAGTCCATTTTTTAGGAGCTTTGCCTGTACATTTAGCATCACATGGGGTATGTGCCATGCTACATTAATTTTTTTTCTTTCATTCCAAGATATTGTCATCTTTATTCTTATACATGTTCAACATATTTCTGTCTTTTACCTGTCACCCCAGTTCAGGTCTTTCTATTCGATTTCCTGGCCAACACAAACCTGGGTTTCTGTGCTGTTTTGGCTCGATTATGTCTTTTGTTCTGGATCATTTTTATCTACCTACATTTTGTGGCTCATGTGGTATATTCCTTTCGACTTTTCATTTCTAACCATCTTCCACATTTCTTCTTGATTGGTTCCAGATGACCTTGTTGGTTCTGTACATGCTTTGGGTTGCTTTATTTTTTCAAGGTTTTTTTCCACTGAATCCATCTCCAATGATTTCATTCCCTTACTCCACTGCTTTGTCTGTGATTTTTTTTCCTTCCTCCTTAACCATTGGGCTTGAATTGTGATTCAGTTGGTCTTTTATTCCATGTATCCTTCTTCCCCGTCATCGATTTCTCATATCTTCACTCCAATCACGCACCTTCCCTTTTCCTGCGTATCGAAACTGTCATCCGTTAGAGGTCCTTCATCTGTCAAACACTGGGAGTACTCCTTATACGTTCATCTTCCATTATTTACTTTAGGTAGCTGTTTCTTCCTTGTCAGGGTACCATCATCCATTTATTGCCATCCTTCACTCTTTTGTGAGACTGTGACTGGGTAAGTTCTCTTTTAGTGAATATGTATATACCTCTTATTTTCAGGGACATGTCCCCCTTTTTTTCTTAATGGATCCCATTCTGTTGTAAATGGTGCCTATCCAGGTATACTTAAACTAGTAAAAGCCACACTGTAAGGTCATGATGATTTAACAATTATTATTTCATGGCTACGCAATGCACACTGCAGCAATGGGATGTTTCACAAGATTGCTTGTAGGTTTATCCTCGTGATAGGTTTGCTTCATAAGTTTGCCCATCCCAGACCATAATCACCCATGGTCTACATGGGTAAAGCAGAACGGGATAACTGCCCATCCATGCCATGCCTTGGGTTGAATAAATCGGTATAGTCTGCTTTTCAAAATAGGGTTTCGTGGTCACCCATTGCACTGTCTCTGGTGATGTCATTTCTTTAGACTCTCCACTGTGCTTTTTTCCCCCTTTTTCTTCTAGTGAAGTTTGAGAGTCTTTACCACTTTCCAGTTCTAAGCCGCTGTGGTGGTGGACCGTGGAGGCATCCTCCTGAATGTGTTAATGAAATATAAATAATATATATAAATGATTATATAACCATTCAGTTGAGAGTAGGGTGGTGTTGTTCTGCTGATGTAGATGAGGAGATATCCTCCACTATGTAACATGGGAGTGATTTGTCAAAATTGCAGTTCATCCTCATCCTACCCCCATGTGTATGTCAGTCCTCAATGGCTGGGTTTTGGATAGAGAGTTGAACCAATCTTCATAAGTATTCATACATGTATTACAGTTGTCTCTATTTCCTCACTCATTTCTGTTCTTGTTACTCCATCCGTGTAGTAGGTCATGGTGGAAGTACTTGCAGATTACTACAGTTCTTTCCCTTCTGTTGTCCCTCAATGATTATAATTCCAAGGATGTTCCTGTGCTTGGGGTGGTTCCTTATATTGAGTGAGATGATTTACATTACACAAACATCTTTTCGATCCTGGATGTTGGGTTCCCAGATTAATCGTTCAATTTCTCACATTGCTATGAAACAACATGTGCCCATTCATAGATCAGAGGTTACGAGATTCCCTCTGGTCTTATGAACTTGAGGTGAAAATGGTATGATCCTTTTTCCTACGTCCCACCAGATGGCTGGGGTTTGGATTGTAGTTGACTTGCCATCAATATGATCCTCTTTCCTACCCCCAAATGGATGTTGGTACCCGGTGGCCAGGTTTTAGATTGTAGTTGATTTACCGACGGTATGATCCTCATCCTACCCCTGCGTGGATGTCGGTTCCTGGGGACATGAGTTTTGGATGTAGTTGACTTGCCTTTAATATATAATGTATGGTTTGGATCACTATCCTGCCATAGTTCTTTCCCATTTGTATTTGCTCCTCCATTTTTCCGCCCATATATGTGACATCTTTCCACAATGGGTGAAGATTATACTGGGTTCAGAAGTGATGCAGTCTCCCACTTATGATGTTTGACATCAAAGATCTTTTTGGGAGTGTCCTCTGGATGCTTCTTTCTTTCCCTTACACCGGTCCCTTCACCTATTCAATGTGAGATTCTAGGTATTTATGTGAGCGGAGGTAATGTATCATATCAGAAGTTATAACTTTCCTATATTGAAAACGTATTTCCGATAGGTACTTACCTCCTCTCACACTACCCCCCACTGAAAACTGGTAAAACTTGAAATGATAGCTTGGTAGAATTGAATAGATGGAGTTACAAATGTCAAGAGAGTATGTCGTATTCTTATCGGTGGAGGGTTGTCGCATGATGATTTGCATGTGAAATGCATTGGAATCAGTCAGTTTCAGATGTGGGACTTTCAAGGCTTGTTGGATATGCAAAAAATTAATTTTCATATAGAGGACAGCACTGAACAAAAGTAGCTATTTATGTGAGAGGAGGTAAGTACTTATCAGAAATATATTTTCAGTATTGGAAAATTATAACTATCTGCTATATTCATTATCCTAACAGGCCCGGCATGGCCAGGTGGTTAGGGCACTAGACTCACAATCTGAGGGTTGCGTGTTTAAATTCCCATCACACCGAACATGCTTGCCCTTTCAGCCGTGGGGGCATTATAATGTGATGGTCAATCCCACTATTCATTGGTAAAAGAGTAACCCAAGAGTTGGCGATGGGTGGTGATGACTAGCTGCCTTCCCTCTAGTCTTACACTGCTAAATTAGGGATGGCTAGTGCAGATAGCCCTCGTGTAGCTTTGCGCGAAATTCAACAAAAAAAAACAAACTATCCTAAAAGTAACTGTAATTGTCCTTGGTCAACTTGACTGACTTGTAACCACAATGTAACAGAAAAATATTAAATAAATCTAAATTACCCCCTTTTTTTTTCTAGAATGACTGCACATTGTAATAGACCATTACACGCCATTTATTTTTACAGCCAATGCAAATACAAATTTCATTAGTTTTATTTTGTTACAGTTGCACTTAGACCCTCTCAGAGTAGGTGATAGCTGTTTGTTATACAGAACAGCTTTAAATCATTAAAATATTAAATTACTAACACAAACTCATCAAGTTATACAACATTACTCATTTGAGTGTGTGCTACGTGATTATTTTTCCTATAACGTTCTATTATCTAACTTAGCAGGTTTCTAATTTTTGCATTTTAATGTGGTCTGAGAAATGATTTTTTTTTTAAAATTGAAATATACAACGTAGAATAAAAAATGCTGCCATTGGTATAATATGGAATGTCCAAAAACTAATTTTATTTATCTAGCTAACTATCTTATCTAACTGAGCTAAAAATTGGTTAAATAATTCGTCTACCTAGTCAAGCAGAGTTCCATAATTTGCTGACCAAAAAAAAAGATGCCAAATCCTTTAAAACTGGTTATCTCAACAGCTAATAGCCTTATTCCAGTCAGTAAATTGGAATCTTCTCTTTCAGTTCGTTAGAAATAATCCAATAGAAATATTTTATAGAATTATTGATATTTTTGAAAGGCAGGATGCACTAGAAAGTGTGACATGTGGGTTTGACTTTCTGGCTTATATTTACATACAGCAAGAAGTGTAGAGGTTATGTCTTTACATTTTCACTTGGAGATGCCTGAAGTATAAGTATGTACTCTCTTAGACATTTACAAAATAATATAGTGAAGGAAAATAAATCTAAATTGGGGAACTCCGAGTGTCACATGATTCAGTGAAGTGAAGATTGAGGATTTATTCAAATATCTCCTTTTGAAAGTTAGAAATTAAAACTTACATAATATTAAAAGTTGAATTATAAGTTGTGTTCTTATGCCAAGTTTATTGATGTAGATTGATGATAATTTGAATGCAACTCTGTATAGGTTGTGATGTGCTCTTTGACCTACCTTTGCTCAAAAATGTAATTTAGATTACTGTAGTATTGTTGTTATTTCTTTTTTTAAGTTTGGTATTAAAAACAGTGATGTGAAGTGACAGTTATTTTGGTTTTCATACAATTATTAGATCTAAAATATTTGTTTTGTTTTAATAATATCAGCCATACAGTAAATTTAATTTCATAGTTTATGTCGTTCATTGATTTGTACGTATTTTCAATATGTCTTTGTTTTTTACAGATAATTATCAACTTAAGTATGAATCACCAGTTTGTGTTGTCAAAAGAAATTAAACTGATCTAATTGTGCTTGTTTTTTGTTTTTTTTAGATGATCAAGAAATTGATCAGTTTTGGTGAGTACATTTTAAATACTTCTAACTAGTTCAATTTGTTATTGGAAAACTATAAGCTAAGGTTAGAAGTATTTTTTAATCATAACAGCAATATCCAAGTAAATGTAACAAAAGCTAACTTTTTTATTCTGTCTTTTGAGCCAAATGCAACCAAGTGGTTATGATGCCAGACTGTGGACCTATAGATTAAATCCCATTACTGCGATGAAAAAAAATAAATCATGGTTTGTATTTTGGGCCATTTTGGCTGACAAGAGTAGCCAAGAATTGGCTGTGGGTGGTGTTGACTAGCTGCATTTAATTTGATCTATCATTTCCAATGGTTAGTGCAGGTTGTCTTCATCCAGCTTTGTACGAAATTCAACAAAATAGTCTTCTCTTTTTGTCTGTTTCAAAATGTACGAAGTAAGGAGCCATATACGTTTCTTTAACTGTGAGACTTTTGGGTCAGTCTTTGAATATTTTTCTACTTTTCACGGTTCCATGTTAATTCAAAATGTTGAAATCTTACTTTTTTGTTTTCCAAATTAGCTTTCTGGTTTTTTGTTCAGATAATGAATTAAATTGTGACTTTTCATCAGCTGATAAACTAAGTGTAAAATATGCATGAAAATATAATATTAAAATTGTTAAAAGCTAACAGGTTGCTTTCTCAGCATTTATACAGATACATACTAAAACATTATATGTCTTCTAAATGTTCTATTGTTTAGACTAATCTTTGTTTACAATTTGCTCTGCTTTTAATTTTTTGTAGTTAAATTTATTACCATTTTATATTTTATTGAAGAACCATATACATCAACCATGAATGATTGGATTCAGTGTGGAAAAACCTTTATCAAAGTACACCCATATAGTCAATGGGAATAGAAATAGCTGACATAACAAAAATGCCCCTTTAATAAACAAAGGGTTAATATAATGTGGTTGTAGTACCCAAATTACTGTTTAACCCTGTACACAGGCTCAGTCATTTTAAACATCGTGTAACTATGAAACTATACATACTATAACTTTCAAAATAGTAAGTGTATCTTCACAAAAGTTGGATAGCTTTTAGAAAGCATTACAAGTCTTTTAAGCGTTCGTAAAATTTTATCACTAAATCAAGGACCTAAAATTAATACAATGCAACTTTTTTAAATGTCAAAATTTAGATATTTAACATTCATTAGAACATACTGATGAATTTAATATTAATTGCAGTGTGTAATAATTATTGTATGCTATGTTTGCACAGGGAAAGCTTTGGATACTTTAGCTCGACCTGGTCAGATCCTCCAAGCAATGATTTAAAGTACTTGAAGATGAGAGCCATGCAGGTGAACACATGTCTACAGTGTGGTGAGTGGGGTTTTTATTCACAAACTCGAGTGTGATTGTTTTTTTCACATAGGTATGAACTATGAATAGGATGAATGTATTGTATGGTTAGAAATTATGAAGTAATTTATCGTGAATTGTTAAGTAAAACTTTTTTTAACTGGTTTCATAATAATAATTTTGCATTTAAAAGTGATGTTCAAACATTAGCTATCTGCTATATAATTTTACAGTAGTTGAAAAAATTATTACCTTACCTAATTTTTTTTTCAATTTTCTTGGATCATTTAATTTTTTTATGAAATTGTGTATTATGGAAGTGTATTGTATTATATTATGTTTATGGACACTATGTAGTGTAAGCTGACATATTGCAGTCATCCCAATACATATATGTTTCTTTATTAACAAACCAACTGTGACAAATGTATTACAGCTAATGATTGGCAATATATGACAAATACATAAATGTTTTAGATTTAAAGATAACACCACTAATGTAATTGACAAAAAGTATTCATAGAGTCTGTTTCTTGTTTTAACCCATTCACTGGATAAATGGGATTTCATTTTTAAATTTTCTGCATGAACTGATAAGAGATATTTATGAATGTTGTTGAGGCACTCTCTGTCTACCAAAGCATTTTTATTGTTACTGAACAATGGGTCGATCATTTTTTGTCTTTTCTCGTCAGTACCCCTCACGATGTCAGTGAAATCCTATATCTGGCATGGCTGCGGTGTATGGAAGAGAAAAAGTCTGACCCGTATATGTGACAGTCACAGTGAATGGGTTAATATGTGGTTAAAACTCCTCTGTCCTTGATAACTGCTTGACAATACCATGGCATAGAATGCATGAGGGGCTAAATGTAAGCAGAGATGAGTTCATGATCCAACACATGGAATAGGGCTTCTTGCAGTAGTTCTGGGGAGCTTCTCGATTTCATCTTTTGAACTTTGTTTCCTGCAGTTTTCAATACGATTAAAAATCTGGACTGTTGACTGGCCAGTGTAATGTCTTGATCCTTTCCTTTCGAAGGTAGTTCGTCATTTGAAGTAATGAAATAAAACTTGTGCTGTCTTTTCGATACACTCAGAGTGAAATTTCCTCTTTATTTCACACCTATTGCGTGAAGTGCATGAATTCTACTAACCTTACTGTGGCATGGAACAGAGTCATCCTGGAATATGCACTGGTCAGCTCCATTGAAGTGGTCCTGAATTGCTGGCTTTAACTGGGATCTCTATGAACTTATTGGTATTGAAAGTGCCTTTCATGAAATGTAGGCATCCCACATCCTGGCCAAAGATGTATCCTCATATAACCTGACAATGCAGATGTATTGAAACATGCTGGATGAAACCTTCTCTATATCAAAGTCATACAAAGTGCTTCTCATCAGACTCATGCAACTTTGATTTGTTTGAGAAGCTCATTTTACTTCACATTACTTCAGCATGTTCTTTTTCCCAGTTGAGTCTCATCCTCTTGGGAGACTGACTGAACACAGATAAGACCAGACTGTGCACGTGGTGACAGTGATCCTCATATTTTCCTGCTGTGCTCTTTAAATATCTGTGGATGACAGTCAACAATTCTGCAGGCTCGTGCATTTCAGAACATGATCATCGGCTGCTGTGGAAGATTTCTTCCAATCCCTTTCCTTCTGCCGCCAATCTCTCTATATCTTTATATTAACCAGTTCATGTTAGACTAGTCAAATTTAATTATTCTAGCAATCTGTCTCGTCAAAAAGTATTTTTTTTTTTTTTTTTTTGCTCAAAGAAACAATGACTTCCTTTTTCCATGG